AAGCCAGCCTGAAAATGGAGTTGTCAGAGAAGGACACAGAATTGAGAGATGGAGAGAAACCAGGTCCTGAATGATATCCTCTCAGTGCCCACAGGCGGCCCTGCCTGAAAACCACTTTCACCCCTGCACTCCCCTGACACCTGAGCCAACAATCCTAATGCCAGAGAGGGTTGAGTTTTCTGGCACTCGCAACAAGAAAGTCCTAACTGAAACACATACATTTTGTTAGCATATAAAATACCGAAATGGGTTTTAGGGCTTTCCAGATTACTTTCCTCTCAATATCCTACATTTCTTCTGTCCGGCTAAGACTTAGCACAGCTGTTTGTGATCAAAGCTCAATTACACACACTAACAGAGAAGTGGTTCAGATCATTCTAAACAGCGGACACTTGAAAATCATTTGCATATGGTTTGGGAATCTGTTATGAACTTATTAAGGAAACAAAAAAAAATCACAAAACATTACCTAAATATTTTTTAACAACTGCCCAGATGGGGGTTCCCTTCATGGAAACGTATAGAATACGTATAAACTTGAGCAGGAATTCTGTTTTCCAGAATTTTCTGGGATGTCACTATTTGGGTTGCTGGTGACAACCACACCCAATTGAGCAAAGTAAACAATAACTAAACTAAAATGTTACTTAAAACAATTCTCGGGGAAGGGGATAATTCCACAAAATGATTGAAAACAAGATAACTGTGACTTACTTAGATGTATATACCCAGTTTCTGTTAAAAGGTGTTTCCTGCATTATGCAAAATTCCTAAAAACCTAAGAACAGGAACTGGCAAGCATCCTAAAGATGCCCTTTTGAATACTCCTTAATTTCTTAACACATAGCATATACTCAAAAGTTCTTACTGTTTCCTTCCAAAAAATATCTTTCCTATCTTTTGGGTTTTTCCTGGTCATTTTAATATTTCATTTTTCAATCACAATTTTGTTTAGAAATGGCTGAATAAAAAAAAAAAAACAATAGGTAAATTCCCATATCCAGACAATCATGTCTTCAGTAAGCCTGTCAAGTTCTACATGGATCTGGGGATATATACTCTAAATTTAAAATGTATCACAGTAGTACTTCAGAACATTTCACTAGAGTGTTTTACCCATAAGCTAACTCAAATAAAGAATAAAGAAAATACTAAGGCTAGAAGCTGATATCCTGGGTGGGTAGAGGCCCTAGTCTCTGGGAACAGAGGTGGGAGAGTGAGTCAAGCTGGTACAGGAACCTGAATTCTAAACTTGGAGGTGAATCTAATACAGTGTGACCTTTCCAGGTTCCCCAAGAATCATACTTCTTTACATGTAAGGTGAGAAAATTAAACCAGATGATCTTTACAGGTCTCCTAGAATGCAAAACATTTATGATTCAGCCTACAAAATCATCTGGAGAATTAACCGTAAAAGATGGTGAGAAGAATTATCATGAGACCACTTAAAATAAACACCGAAGGAAAACAAAGTGAGTATACTTCTATTTTTGTGCAAAAGTGTGCACTAAGCTTCAACCATGGCTTAGTTTCAATGTGTTTTGGAATTATTTTCAAAAATCATCACAGAAGTTAAGGTACTCTTCTGGTTAACCTTTGGCTAACCATAACACTGAACTTGGGGAAAACTTCTTTCCATAATCATTCCTGTTCTCTGTAGCAATAAACATACCAGGTGCTCTCAAATTGCAGAGTTGTGCCCAAAATATCTGTTCCTATGCTTTCACAGACATTCAGTGATAACTAGTCCAGCCTAATGCATAGAAGGCAGAGAGAAATAACAGTAATTGGCTTGCCCTGGGACAGAACCCAAACCTTGGCATCATTAATAAATTATCTGCACCAACTGGGCAGCCCAGCCACAAAGTAATGAGACATATGCACTTACCTCTGCTGTGAGAGGTTCCAGAAAAATGCTATAAATGATATGCAGAGCAAGAAAAAATGCCTAAACATATCAGAAACTAAGAAAAACTGGTCTTATGGTTGACTGTAAGTTACACTTTAGTTAATCAAGTCTTATTTTAAATGCCTTAGGGAGCTGGTATTAAAATTCTTTTATAGTAATTACTTTTTTAAAGAGAAAATAATTTACCCTAATTTACCTATTTTGGAAATCATGTCATTTATCAAAACGTAAAGATATTAAACAGCTCACCCAATAATTAATCTTTAATTGAAATCTATAAAGAGGGGGGAAAATACTTTCTAATATTGAAGCATTCCAGACAAACATTCAAAAATCCAACAAAAAGCTTAGTTTATAAAAATAATTTCACAGGGTGCCTGGGTGGCTCAATTGGTTGAGCATCTGCCTTTGGCTCCGGTCATGATCCCAGATCCTGGGATCGAGTCCTGAGTTGGGCTCTCTTCTAGGTGGGGAGCCTGCTTCTCCTCCTGCCTACTGCTCTTTCTCTCTCTGACAAATAAATAAAATCTTTTAAAAAAATAATAAAGAAAGACAAATAATTCCACAAACTTAAAAAAGTGAAGATTATATTAAAAGAAGGCACACAAAGAACACACAGCAAAAATTTAATATCACACTGGGATGTACGCCACATTGATCTCCGCCACCATTTTAAATCAAACCATCATGAGGTTATCATGGTGTTATTTCAACTTAATAACAAAATTATTTGTTTCCAAGCTATCAGAACAATGTAGTTGTCAGTTTCTTTGACAAGGTCTAAGGGACAAAACTGAATAATCTAGTGGAATAGAAAGTCATTTATGTTTTTCATATAAAACAAAATAAAATATTGAACTAAACCTATTACCTTCTAGAGGGAAAGTAAAGAGCTAAAAGTCTTTTAACCTGACACAATAACATCTTTGTCTCATCAGGTTTTGATAATGAGCAATTTTTATCTTACAAAACTTTGAATTCAACTTTTTTTAACCTAGAAAAAAGAAGAATTAGGAGGCATTGTATAAATTAGGATCACTCATTTCTTTCTAGGGTTTACAAGGAGTCCCGGAAAAATCTCCTCCCATGCATTCCTGAGCACTTGTCCATTATAGACCTTCCTTGGCCACATACAAATTAGTCTTGATTTTATGCTCTAAAGAAAATGTCCCACATTTCCATAATGCCTGAAACTTTATCCTCATGGACAAAGGAGTCAAGGAAAGAAGATACCTTCACCCCCAGAAAATTGTGTTCAAAAAATATTTTTTTAAATACAGCTCTGTGACATTCTAATAAGATTATCCTCGCCTAAATACCAGAACATGGATTAACATTATGACCATGAAGTCTCAATCTAAACTGCTAATTAAGTCTTAGGCTAACTTCAGCAAAATTTCTCCTTGAATCCTGTTGCTCACTTCAGTTAGGCAAAAATGTCCACAGAGGTAAACAAAACTCTTGTGTTTGACACACACACACCAAAAAAAATCTCCCAAATACATTCCATAATTACAAAGACTCATCTATTCTGTACATATAATACTCAGGAAGTGGAATGGTGCTGAATAAAAAGATCTATGCCAGCTATGACTAAAATTATGGTTTAAAAAAGCATGCATCTATATATTAAAGGATCGAAAAAACAAAATGGTTGATCTGTTAGGTTCTTAGAAAATGGGTCTCTGGGTGATTTTAGATTTTTATTTCCATTAGTGTTATTACAAAATTATTTGTACAATAAACTAAAAGTGTAAATGCACATCCCTTCAGGTTAAGGGTACTTGTATTTTCTGGACCCAGTAGCATAACAAGCATGGAGAACGGACCCTGCTCTACAAGGGGAAATGGATTACATTACAGTAGGCAAAGTGCTAGATGGAGGATACCCGTCCAAGGCAATCACACATAGTTCGCTGTCCTCCTGCAAAGTTCTAATATATATGCGGCTGTGTATATGTGCTTTTTCCAAATAAAGAAAATATAACCACACAATATATGCCATATGTATCATTCATGAAAAGCAGTGCATATGTATAATTATGGATCATACATAATCCATATAATAATGTATGTATAGTATAATATATATATCATAATACATATATAATATATATAATTAATGCAAAGCAATAGAACCATTTAAAAGTCTGGTTCAGCTATTGTAATAACCAGATTAGGCTACAAAAAAACAAATGCAAATTTTTAAATAGGGCTAACAGTAATTGAAATGTGACATGTATCACTGACCTAAGCAAAATAATGAGGTGAAAGTAACACAGTAACTTTTCTCTTCCTTTCAAAATTTTCCAAGCAGATTCAGGTTAGAGCCTAACAGGCAATTCAATATTAGTATTACAATCAGCCCAGGCAGTCATCATTCAAAAATGTGCTGGATTTCAATGCTTTTAATTAGCCTAAATAACAGCTTGAGGAAGATTAAACTAAATGATACCTAAAATCTGCTTCAAAAATAAATTCTGTGGTTCTCTAGTTATCTTAATAGATGAACAGACAGATACAGAAGCATAGGATTTACAGGTCCTTGAAACAAAGTAGCATCAAATCATAACAAAGAAGTCAGTTTCATAATCTCATTTCCTATGTTTAGATAAGTTACCTAGAACCTTTATAAGTATTACTTTTCAATTATATATCTTAGCCATAACTTAAATTTTAAAATTAAACAAATGAGAATGAAAAAGTGAAAACATACTTTTTTCCAAACACCAAAACAAAAGAAGATAATTCCTTTTTTTTTTTAATTTTAATTCCAGTACAGTTAATGTACAGTCTTCTATTAGTTTCAGGTACACAATACAGTGATTCAGCAAGTCAATACATTACTCAGTGCTCATCACAACAAATGCATGACTTAATCCCCATCACCTATTTCACCCATTCCCCCCCGCCTTCCCTCTGGTAAAACATCAGTTTGTTCTCTATGCTTAAGAGCCTGTTTTTTGGTTTGTCTTTTTTTGGTCTTTGTTCATTTGTTTTGTTTCTTAAGTTCATATGAGTGAAATCATATGGTATTTGTCTTTCTTTGGCTGACTTAGCATTATACTCTCCAAATGCATTCATGTTGCTGCAAATGGCAAGATTTCATTCTTTTTTATGGCTAGGGAATATCCATGTGTGTGGTGTGTGTGTGTGTGCACGTGTACGCGCGCGTGTGTGTACCACATCTTCTTTATCCATTCATCTGTTACAGGATATTTGGGCTGCTTCCATAATTTGGCTGTTGTAGATAATGCTGCTATAAACACAGGAGTGCATATATCCTTTCAAATTAGTATTTTCATATTCTTTGGATAAATACTCAGTAGTACAATTACCAGATCATAAGGTAGTTCTATTTTTAATTTTTTGAGGAACCTCCATAGTGGCTGCAGCGGTTTGCATTCCCACCCCCAGTGCAAAAGGGTTCCTTTTTCCCCACCCTCACCAACATTTGTTGTTTCTTGAGTCTTCAATCGTAACCCTTCCAACAGGTGTGAGGGGATATCGCATTGCAGTTTTGATTTGCATATCTCTGATGATAAATGATGTTGAGCATATTTTCATGTGTCTCTTGATCATCCGGATGTCTGCTTTGGAGAAAGGTCTACTCATGTCTTCCATCCTTTGTTAATTGGATTACTGGGGTTTTTTGGTATTGAGTTGTATAAGTTTTTTATGTATTTTGGATACTAACCCTTTATCAGGTATGTCATTTGTGAACATCTCCCATTCCGTTGCCTATCTTTTTGTCTTGTTGAATTTTTTCTTTGCGGTGCAGAAGCTTTTTATTTTAACGCAGTCCCAATAGTTTATTTTTACTTTTGTTTGTTTCCCTTGCCTCAGGAGACAGATCTAGAAAAATAATGCCAGGACCAATGTCAAAGAAATTACTGCTTGTGCTCTGTTCTAGGATTCTTAGGGTTTCAGGTCTCACAATTAGATCCTTAATGCATTTCAAGTTTATTTCTGTGTATGGTATAAGAGATTCATCCCATTTCATTCTTTTGCATGTAGCTGTTCTATTTTCCCAATACTGTTTGTTAAAGAAACTTTTTCCCATTGTATAATCATACTTCCTTTGTCAAAGATTAATTAACCATATAACTGTGAGTTTGTTTCCGGGCTTTCTATTCTGTTCTATTGATCTCTATGTCTATTTTTGTGCCAATACCTTACTGTTCTGATTATTATAGCTTTGTACTATATCTTAAAATCTGAGATTGTGATACCTTGTTTTGTTCTTCTATTTCTTTAAACATTTATTTATTTGAAAGAGAGAGAGAAAGAGAGTGAGCACATGGGGAAAGGGAGAGGGAGAGAGAGTCCAAAGCAGATTCCACACTGACCCGGGAGCCCAAGGTGGGGCTCAATCTCATGACCCTGAGTGTGATGCTTAACTGACTGCACCACCCAAACACCCTTGCTCTTTTTTAAGATTGTTTTGGCTATTCGGGGTCTTTTGTGGTTCCATACAAATTTTAGATTGTTCTAGTTCTGTGAAAAATACTGTTGGTATTTTGATAGGGTTTCCATTGAATCTATAGATTGCTTTGAATAATACATACATTTTAACAAATGTATTCTTCCAATCCATGAACATGGAAAATCTTGCCATTTGTAGCATTTTCAATTTCTTTCATCAACTTTTTACAGTTTTCAGAATACAAGTCTTTCACCTCCTTGGTCAAGTTCATCCCTAAGTATTTTATTATTTTTGGTGCAATTTTACATGGGATTTTTTTTTCTGAATTTCTCTTTCTCCCGCTTCATTATTAGTGTAGAGAAGTGTAATAGATTTCTGTATATTGATTTTTGCATCCTGTGATCTTTCCAAATTCATTTATCAATTCTAGTAGTTTTTTGGTAGTGTCTTTAGGATTTTCATAGTATCGAGTCATCTGCAAATAGTGAAAATTTTACTTTTTCATTACCAATTTGGATGCCTTTTATTTCTTTTTCTTGTTCAATTTCTGTGGCTAGGACTTCTAGTACTATGTTGAATAAAATTGGTGAGAGTGGTCTTCTTTCTGATTTTAGGGGGAAAGCTCTCACTCAGTTTTTCACCACTGAGTATGACATTAGCTATGAGTATTTCATATATGGTGGGATTTCATAGATGGCCTATATTATGTTGAGGTATGTTCCCTCTAAACCAACTTTGTTAAGGGTTTTTTATCATGAGTGGATGTACTTTGTCAAATGCTTTTTCTGCAATGACTGAAAAGATCATGTTTTTTTTAATCTTTCCTTTTTTTGGTGTGATGTATCACACTGATTGATTTGTGAATATTGAACCACACTTGCATCCCACTTGATGATGGTGAATGATTTCTTTTAAAGTATTGCTGGATTCAGTTTGCTCATATTTTGTTGAAGATTTTTGCATCTATGTTCATCAGAGATATTAGCCTGTAGTTCTCTTTTTTGGTAACATCTTTATCTGGTTTTGAGATCAGGGTAATAATGCTGGCCTCACAGAATAAATTTGAAAACTTTCCTTCCTTTCCTATATATATCAGAATAGTTTGAAAAGAATAGATACTAACTATTCTTTAAATGTTTAATACAATTCACCTGTGAAGTCATCTGGTCCTGGACTTCTGCTTGTTGGGAGGTTTTTTTGTTTGTTTTTGTTTTTTTTTTTTATTACTGATTCAATTTCATTTCTGATAATTGGTCTGTTCAAATTTTCTATTTCTTCTTGATTCAGTTTTGGGAGGTTAAATGTTTCTTGAAATTTATCCATTTCTTCTAGGTTGCCCAGTGTGTTGGCATATAATTTTTCATAATATTCTCTTATATTCCTTTGTATTTCTTTGGTATTGTTATTTCTCCTCTTTCGTTTCTGATTTTATTTGAGTCTGTCTGTCTGTCTGTCTCTCTCCTCCTCCTCCTCTTGTCTTTTCCTTTTTTTTTTTTTTTTCTTACGAGTCTGGCTAAACATTTATTGATTTTGTTGACCTTTTCACAGAAATAGCTCCTGGTTTCATGGAACTGTTCTGTTGTTGTTGTTGTTGTTGTTTAGTTTCTATATCATTTATTTTTGCACTAATCTTTATTATTTCCTTCCTTCTACTGGTTTGCATTTGGGTTGTTCTTTTTCTAACTCCTTTGCATGTAAAACTAGGTTGCTTACTGGAGGTTTTTCTTGCTTCTTGCTGTAAGCCTGTCTGTATTGCTATAAAATTCTCTCTTAGAACAACTTTTGTTACATCCCAAGGATTTTGGACCACTGTGTTTTCATTTTCATTTGTCTCCATGCATTTTTTGATCTCCTCTTTAATTTCCTGGCTGATCCATTCATTGTTTAGTAGCATGTTATTTAACCTCTATGTATTTGTGTTCTTTCCAGATTTTTTCTTACAGTTGATTTCTAGTTTCATAGCATTGTGATCATAAAAGATGTATGGTATGACTTCAATCTTTTTGAATCTCTTGAAACTTGTTTTATGGCCCAGTATGTGATCTATTCTGGAGACTATTCCATTACATGCAATTGAAAAGAATGTTTCTTCTGCTGTTTTAGGATGGAATGTTCTGACTATATCTGTTAGATCCATCTGGTCCAGCGTGTCGTTGAAAGCCATTGTTTCTTTATTGATTTTCTGTTTGGATGATCTATCCATTGATGTAACTGGGCTGTTAAAGTCCCCTATTATAATTGTATTACTATCAGTTATCCTTTATGTTTGTTATTAGCTGCTTTTTGTATTTGGGTGTTCCTGTGTTGGCTGCAAAAATATTTATAATTGCTGTATCTTCTTGTTGGATTGTTCCCTTTATGATTATATGGTGTCCTTCTTTGTTTCCTGTTACAGTCTTTATTTTAAAGTTTATTTTGTCAGATATAAGTATTGCTATCCTGGCTTCCTTTTTTGCATGATAAATGCTTTTCCATCCTTTCACTTTCAATCTATATGTCTGCATGTCTTTAGGTCTGAAATTAGTCTTTTGTAGGCAGCATATAAATGGGTCTTGATTTTTTATCCATTCCGTTATCCTATGTCTTTGGATTGGAGCATTTAGTCTATTCACATTCAAAATAGTTATTGACAGGTGTGTATTTATTGCCATTTTGTTACTTGTTTTATAGTTGTTTTTGTAGTTCTCTTGTTTCTTTCTTCTCTTGCTCTTTTCTCTCATGGTTTGTTGGTTTTCTTTAGCGATCTACTTGGATTCCTTTCTCCTTATTTTTTGCATATCTATTACTGGTTTTTGATTTGTTGTTTCCATTAGGTTTGTATAAAACATCTTCTGCATATAGCAGTATATATTAAGTTGATTGTCACTTGAGTTTGAACTTTATTCCTCTGTCTCCCTCACCACGTTTTAGATATATTGTATCATATTTCACATCCTTTTATTTTGTGAATCCCTTCACTGATTCTTACAGATGTACTTACTTTTTTTTTTAAGGATTTTGTTTATTTATTGGACAGACAGGTATCACAAGTAGGAGAGAGGAAGGCAAAGACGAATGGAAGCAGGCTGCCTGCTGAGCAGAGAGCCCGATGTGGGGCTCGATCCCAGTACCCTGGGATCATGACCCTAGCCAAAAGCAGAGGCTTTAACCCTTTGAGCCACCCAGCACCTCCAGATGTACTTATTTTTGATGTGACCTCTTTTCTACATTCAGCTGTGGAGAATTTGTTCTGCTAGCCTTTGGGTCATTTTCTGGGTTATTTACACTGGTGTGGGTGTTCTCTAGTTGTACCCATGGAGCAAGATGAGCTTGGGGTCCTCCTACTCTGCCATCTTCCCCAGAAATTGCCAGTTAGTGACTTTATATTTACAAGGACTTCTTTTTATCTCATCCTGCTATGGGGAATTTTTAGTGTCCCCACCCTTGACTATCTTTGGAGTCCCCGATCCCACCTACTGTTTCTTGTGCTGCTTCACTGTCCATGTCTTCATTCCCTCACATGTGACTTAGACTCCACACCCATCATTATGATCACTTCCCAGCAACTTCCCTTAAATACTACTCCCCTCCTTCCCTCTATTGCACTCTCCTAGCCCTGGTAAAAACCCAACACTCTGCCTACTCTGCATTGTATCCAAAAGGTGCAATGTGGTAGAGAAAAACACACAGCTATGCTATCTAAGCTCAGTTAAATTTATGGTCATTGCAACCATGTCCTCAGCTCTGTTGAGCAACCTCACCCTTTCTCACCAGTCAGGAAGCTATTTCCTACTCTGGTGTCTCCCCAACATTCTACACCCACTCCCCAACTAGGAACCTTCTGAGTTATTCCATTGATCAATTTATCTGTCTCTATGTCAGTTATTTTCAATTGATAACTTTAATGTTTATTTCCTGTAGAAACAGAACTACTCAGAAGAATGTTTCACTATTTACTCAACAAAAAACTTACCAACCTTTCTGTGTCTGTGCCCATGTGACCCTGCCTTTTCTCTCATTCAGCAGGACTAACTGTGCTGGCTCCTGCATAAGGCCAACCCCTCCACTTGTGTACTAGGTCCTATCACCTCTTGCCCAGTCAAGGACTTTGTTCCAAAAATTAGCCCCTCTCCTCTCCATCATCAAATTTCCCCTCTCGAGTAGACTGCTGCCATTAGCATACAACCGTACTATATTACCTAGAACTGTATTTTTCTGTTCATTTTATAGCAGCAACTCCTCAAATAGTTTTAAAAAAAACTCACAGCTCATATTTCTCTCCTCTTACTAGTCATGATCACATTCCCAGCAGACTTTTGTCCCACCACACCCTAGTAACTACTCTGGATAAAGCCACTTATAAATTCTATATTGCTAAATCTAGTGGACAAATCTGTCATCAACCTTGCAGACACATTTGAAAGAGATGACCCAACTGCCTTGAATCACCTCCTTCTCTTGGCTACATCCCCAGCACCTACAGAAGTGCCTGGCACATATTAGGTACACAATATGCACTATATGAATGAATGAATTCATTCACTTAAATGTTGACTGCTCAGCTGTTTCAAGCTAAATAGTCTTAGTACAAGGTTACAGTAAATGTCAAGGACATGATTGTTTTAAGAATTTCAGAATTATTTTATCACATATTTAAATATGTGGTCAATTTTCTAAAGTGGCATCTTTCATACAAATAAACAGAAGATTTATGAGAGGTATACACATAATAAGTTCAATACTTATCTCTTGAGACAACCAAAATCATCTCAAAACAACTATTTTCCCAATTTACCTGGTTTAAAAACATATATATAATCACCCTTACCTCCTTTCTTGTAGGAAATAATTTCCAAAGATGATTATTCAAAATATGTCTTAGTGTTAATTAACAATATGTGGAAACCCAAATAAATGAGATGTTCCCCCCTTGTGGACTGGGAAACTCAATAAATATGTCCATTCTTCTTCAAATTGATATATGCATTCAGTGTAATTCCAATCAAAATCCCAACAGACATTTTAACAATGTTTATTCTTCTGATCCAAGAGCATGGAATGGCCTTCCATCTTTTTGTGTCTTCTTCAATTTCTTTCATGAGTGTTCTGTAGTTCCTCGAGTACAGATCCTTTACCACTTTGGTTAGGTTTATTCCCAGGTATCTTATGGTTCTTGGTGCTATAGTAAATGGAATCGATTCTCTAATTTCCCTTTCTGTATTTTCACTGTTAGTGTATAAGAAAGCCACTGATTTCTGTACATTGACTTTGTATCCTGCCACGTTACTGAATTGCTGTATGAGTTCTAGTAGTTTGGGGGTGGAGTCTTTTGGGTTTTACATATAAAGAATCATGTCATCTGCGAAGAGAGAGAGTTTGACTTCTTCATTGCCAATTTGGATACCTTTTATTTCTCTTTGTTGTCTGATTGCTGTTGCTAGGACTTCTAATACTATGTTGAACAAGAGTGGTGAGAGTGGGCATCCTTGTCGTGTTCCTGATCTCAACGGGAAGGCTGCAAGCTTTTTCCCATTGAGGATGATATTCTATACTGCCTAGAGCAATCTATACTTTTAATGCCATTCCAATCAAAATTCCACTGGTATTCTTCAAAGAGCTGGAGCAAATAATCCAAAAATTTGTATGGAACCAGAAGAGACCCCGAATCGCTAAGGAAATGTTGAAAAACAAAAATAAAACTGGGGGCATCACGTTACCTGATTTCAAGCTTTACTGCAAAGCTGTGATCACCAAGACAGCATGGTACTGGCATAAAAACAGACACATAGACCAGTGGAACAGAATAGAGAGCCCAGATATGGACCCTCAACTCTATGGTCAGTTAATCTTCGACAAAACAGGAAAAAATATTCAGTGGAAAAAAGACAGTCTCTTCAATAAATCGTGCTGGGAAAACTGGGCAGCTATATGTAGAAGAATGAAACTCGACCATTCTCTTACACCGTACACAAAGATAAACTCAAAATGGATAAAAGACTTCAACATGAGACAGGAATCCGTCAGAATCCTAGAGGAGAACATAGGCAGTAATCTCTTCGATATCAGCCACAGCAACTTCTTTCAAGATATGTCTCCAAAGGCAAAGGAAACAAAAGCCAAAATAAACTTTTGGGACTTCATCAAAATCAAAAGCTTCTGCACAGCAAAGGCAACAGTCAAGAAAACAAAGAGGCAACCCATGGAATGGGAGAAGATATTTGCAAATGACAGTACAGACAAAAGATTGATATCCAGGATCTATAAAGAACTCCTCAAACTCAACACACACAAAACAGACAATCATATCAAAAAATGGGCAGAAGATATGAACAGACACTTCTCCAATGAAGACATACAAATGGCTATCAGACACATGAAAAAATGTTCATCATCACTAACCATCAGGGAGATTCAAATTAAAACCACATTGAGATATCACCTTACACCAGTTAGAATGGCCAAAATTAGCAAGACAGGAAACAACATGTGTTGGAGGGGATGTGGAGAAAGGGGAACCCTCTTACACTGTTGGTGGGAATGCAAGTTGGCGCAGCCTCTTTGGAGAACAGTGTGGAGATTCCTCAAGAAATTAAAAACAGAACTTCCCTATGACCCTGCAATTGCACAATTGGGTATTTACCCCAAAGATACAGATGTAGTGAAAAGAAGGGCCATCTGTACCCCAATGTTTATAGCAGCAATGGCCATGGTTGCCAAACTGTGGAAAGAACCAAGATGCCCTTCAACGGACAAATGGATAAGGAAGATGTGGTCCATATACACTATGGAGTATTACGCTTCCATCAGAAAGGATGAATACCCAACTTTTGTAGCAACATGGACGGGACTGGAAGAGATGATGCTGAGTGAAATAAGTCAAGCAGAGAGAGTCAATTATCATATGGTTTCACTTATTTGTGGAGCATAACAAATAGCATGGAGGACATAGGGAGTTAGGAGAAGGGAGTTGGGGGAAATTGGAAGGGGAGGTGAACAATGAGAGAATGTGGACTCTGAAAAACAATCTGAAGGGTTTGAAGAGGTGGGGGGTGGGAGGTTGGGGGAACCAGGTGGTGGGTATTAGAGAGGGCACAGATTGCATGGAGCACTGGGTGTGGTACAAAAACAATGAATACTGTTATGCTGAAAATAAATTTAAAAAATGATTTAAAAAAATCCCAACAAATTATCTTTTTAGACTTTGACCATTTCTATGGAATAACAAAGAACCAAAAGGAGCCACACACTCCTGAAGTATGAGAAGATGTGAAGGAAGGGACTGCTTGCCTTCCCAGATAGAAGGAAAAACATAAAGCCACAGTGTATTACCAGCACAGGGACACATACATTGATCAACAGAACAAAACAGAAGGCCCAGCAAGAGAACTACACTTATACAGACACTTGATTTATGACCATTATGTATCAGGGATTTGAAGGGACACCAGCTCAATGAACATTCAGTCAATCCTGTGGAGCAAGGGGTCTTTACCCTGAAGTCTGCAAGGGGTGGGTAGATATAAATAGATATCTATTTATCTTTAAATAGATAAAATTCAGGGAGTCCATGAACTTAGATGAAGGGGAAAGGCATCTTTATTTTCATCCACTTCCAAATGAAATTTAATATTCACATGAATGATCAATGGAGTATTAGCAGAACCTGTGTCTTTAACATTAATAAAAACATATTCTCTAAAAAGGAACCAATAAGCTTCACTAAGCAACCAAAGGGGTCCAAGGCACACAAAAAGTTAAAAACCCCTGCTTTGGAATGCAACAATACTTACTGCCATGAACTGAATGTTTGTGTCTCCCCCAGCACCCCTCACCCACCAAAATTCGTATTTTGAAGCTTAATTCTCAATAGGACAGTATTCAAAGGTAGGGTGTTGGGAGGACACCAGGGTAAAACCCTCATAATTGGGATTAGTGTTTTGTTTTTTGTTTTGTTTTGTTTTGTTTTGTTTTGTTTTGTTTTCAGAAGAGACTAGAGCACTAGTTCTCACTCCACCATGTGAGGACATGTCAAGAAACAGATCTTCACAAACAAGGAAGTCAGCGCTCACCAAGAACCTGATCCGAGAGTACCTTGATCTTGGACTTCCCAGCCTCCAGAATTGTGAGAAATACATTTTGTTGTTTAAGCAACCCAGTCTATGGTATCATCATAGCAGCCCAAATGGACTAAGATAGTGATCTTTAGGCCAAATAAATCTTACAGTACTGACACGATGTAGAGAACCTACGCAAGTTAAAATTACTCACCAAACCCAGCTTAGCCAGCCTCACATAATAGCAGTTTTCTTTCTCTCTCATCCCTAGGGTGACTTGCTTCCTAACCTCTGGCCAGAGACACCACTTTCCACTTTTTATTACCTCATAATCCCCAGTTTAAGTTACGTGGCCCCTCTCTGGTTTTCTGATGACCAATCCAACTCCTCCTTCTTCTCCAGATTCTGCTGGACCTAACAGCTCTAGCCTCTCCTTCCTCCACCCTGCTCCCTGCCTCACGCACATTTGGGAATTCCAGGGAACACATCCCAACTAGGCTGTTCCCCATCCATGCTCTTGCCATACAACAAATTAGCATCCCTGACATAGACTCTTACATCTGGCAGCTTTTCTCTACAGGGATACAGGGGTTGTAATTTAACATCCAAGACATATCAAGGGGTGTGGGCTATTTCTTCCCAGGCTCATTTAACAATTTTCTCTGCAGCAAATGAAATGTTCTAGATGCCATTCCTTTTACTAAATGTGGAATGGGGTCTCTGACTTAATAAAGAGTTTATACAAGAGATTTTTAAAGGTGGATTTATGACTGTCAAGCTCTAAAGGAAACTGAACAACGCTACAGGCTTGATGGAAAAAAGAAAAAGAAAAGAAAAGAATGTTGAATTAAGTAGAATTGTGTATAAATAGATGGTTCTGAAGTTCAGGAGAGTTATAAATGCTGCCTTCCTGAGAAACTGATAAACCAACTTAATCAAATTTACTATCATAAATTTTGAAAAAATGAAACCTAAATCAATGAAATCTTGATGTCAAAGAAAAATTTTAGTTGATATTTGCCTTTTGGGGTATTGTGAGGTAAGTATACGTTTGAAAAATATTAGTCTATAAGGTCAGAGGTGCTGTTGGGTTTTTTGTTTTATATTAGCATTTCTCTTTTGAAAAAAAGGAATTGGATAAATTACCTTCATTTTCACTTTTTAAAGATTATGATACTAATTAGTAGTAATTAAAGGTTGTTTTTAAAATAGGTATTATGGATTTATGTGGACATTGTTCATGTGCTATGACTATTGAGAATCTTTTAAACAACCTACCTAAGTTTTGGGGACTTCTCATATTTTAAGTCTCCAAGGAAGGAGCTGTAAACTCACTTTCTCAGCCTTGCTCAAAGCTGCACAACAGGCATGTTACCTCAGCACTACCGAACAGATGGACCCATAAGAGCCTTTAATTCAGAAGAGAACACAGGGAGCAGAATCTTCTTTCTGCTCAGGGTGATGACAGAGGTTCCTGGGCTTGCAGAGACACTAGTGCCAGTGGGCCACAGTCCACAAGTCCAAGAGAGCAGCAGGAGCCATGAACTCCCACCAGCAGATTTAAGAGGGTCCTTGCTGACACAGTCATAGTGCAATCTCAGAGCACTGTCCTTGGGTGACACAGTCATAGGTCAACCTCAGAGCACTGTCCCTGGGTGGCACAGGGACCCCTCATCTCTCCTGCCCTCACTCTGAACTGCCTTCCTAACATCCTCGAGTATTTTCTCCCTAAACTATGTTGAAATTAGCTATAAACTCTTTTACATGTTTTTTTAAGTTATTTAAATGTCATTTAAATGTTCTTTATGGAAAAAAATAAAAAAGCCTACATAAAGTTTTTAAAATATATAAAATCCCCCAAATATGTGATTAAGAGGGTATCTAATTATATTAATATTTAAAAGGATATAGTCATGCAACTTCTGGTCATGCTATTGTGCCAGCAAAGGATATCACTGCATTGCAGCCAAAGCATACCACTAAGTTATGAGCGACAGAACACGGATGTCTTAATAGGGTAAAAACAAGGATCTGAATGTAAAAGGAGCTTATTAACTGAAATGAAATTCTTACAAAAGCAGGTATTTTATTTTTTAGTATGTACATCTATTAGCTATTTCTGCAATGATGCTGCATATAACAAACCCTCAAAGTCAGTGACTTACAATTATAATCATTTATTTTTCTTGTTCCCAGGTCTGCAAGTCAGTTGTCACAGTCTGCTTGGCTCTAGGTTTCAAACTGGACTCACTTCTGCTCCCTGTGTCTCTATATTGTCCTTAGACTGGAAGCTAACCAGAACATGTTCTTCCTAGAGTGGATGGCAGGAGCACCAGAGGCCAAGCCAACGCACAGAAACACACCTAAGATCTCTGGGGACATCGTTTTTGCAAAACCCCACTGACAGGCATGAAACATATGGACACACCCAACATCAATGGGGCATTAGTACTTCTTCTAATGAAGGTCCTACAAAGTCACAAGGCAAAGGCATAGGCACACAGTTCTAAAAGGGGAAGTGAAGATTGTGGGGAAAACACTCCAATTAATCATAATTAATCACCGCCTCCCCAATTAACTCTCCAATGAGCAAAATATATGGGCTTATCATGGTTTAACACGTTCAGCCACATATCACCCTCCCTCACCTTAGCTAGCCAGCACCACTGTATATTACACATAAAGATTGGACTCACACATTGTCACATTAAACAATACCCACATAAACAATGGCAACCATCTCACACACAATCATCTCACAGCAAACACAATAAATATTACATATCTCCCATTACCCAACCTCAGAATGCAAAGTGATTCTTTCCATCCAGTAATTCTGTCTTTCAGTCCAGCCAGCTAAATCATGTTTTCTCACATTTTGAATTGCTCTGACCTAAATAGAATATACCTTGCCACTGAGTCATTTATTTGATGTCACACATAATTGCTCTCTTTAGTTCCTCCATGTGGTCAATTTATCAGACAAAATGTATTTGAACTTGAAACTGACTCCCTGGAAGAGAAGCTAGAGGCGAAGTGTGGCTAATGCATCTCTAGAGGGATCTTTCAATGAATTTAATCTATGGGATCCAAAAAGAGTAACTGTATCTACAATATACATTACTCCAAACCCCCAAAATCATTGCAGTAATTGACAGATACAAGGATAATTCACATGTAATTAATTCCATGTCTTTCTGCCTTCAACATTCAGACTGAAAGATAAAAGCAGTTTCATCGGCCACAATCGAAGAAGCCAACAGTTACAACCTGTTAAACCCAGTTACCTCCTAGAAGTAATTAGCAGGTGTCACTGCACTTGCAAACACCTGCCCCAGCAGCCAAGCACAGATGCCCATCCGGGGCTGGAGAAAATGGTGAGGGCCCTGGGAACCCCTCGCTTTTGTTTTTTGTTTTTTGGGGGGTTTTTTTAGATTTTATTTATTTATTTGACAGACAGAGATCACAAGTAGGCAGAGCAGCAGGCAGATAAGGAGGGGGAAGCAGGCTCCCTGCTGAGCAGAGAACCCTTTGTGGGGCTTGATCCCCGGACTCTGGGATCATGACCTGAGCCGGAGGCAGAGGCTTTAACCCACTGAGCCACCCAGGCGCCCCAACCCCTCACTTCTGAAGCAAAGGGAAGTGCAAGAGGAAAGTGTTCTTGAAGAGAAATAATTATTCCCCTCTGAAAGATGCCCAGCACACACACACACACACACACACACACACACACACACTCCACGACTGAGAACGGGAGCATAGGGCTGACAGAGCCCGCAGCTCAGAAAAAAAGGATTATAGTCCTGGGGGGTGGAGACAGCAAGCACTGCCTTCTTGGGAAGGAAATATATTAGCAGTGACATCAGACGTGAAGGCGGCTGCTTGACCGTCCTGTCTATGAGACAAAAGGAGCAGGACCGTGGCTATCATTTTTGCACAAAATTAAAGCTGCCCCACAAAAGAAGAAAAGGGGGGCCCTGAGCTTGAGCGAGGCCTAAAAAAGTAAAAATTCTCTTGAGTTCGGTGTAATTATGAAGGGATTCACAGCAACACCGCGGCGCCGAGGAATACCAATGAGCAGCGCTATGGTAACTGAGGAGACAAATATATCAGGAAGATAAATAGGAAGACGCCGCAGGAACAAAATGAACTCCCAAATCGACTATTCAGTATTTTTGTAAACTGTTGCTAATAACCCCTTCACATCAAAATATCCTTGAATTTCTTTCTTTCTTTTCTTTTTATTTATTTTTTTTAATTTCCAAACCTACTTTACGGTTTATTCTTGAGACGTTTCCACACATTCTAAAGCTGACACAGCTGTTTGGGAGCTATCTCTCTGCAAATGCTGCTCAGTTTGAAAATAATTATTTCTGAGTGGGTAAGGCTGGCTATGAGCTAGATGCTGCGAGCAGCAATTCTTACCGCGGTCTCAACCGGTTTACTCTTTGGGGTACGAATTCTTTCTCCTTTACAGTGTATCCAAAAAAAAAGAATCCGCACCTCCATTTTTAAAAAGGGAGCATTCCCCCTTCCATGGCCAGCTTCCCCTACACAGCTGATCTCTGCCAGGAGGTCTGGAGAAGGGCTCGCTCCAGCTCATAACTCATCATGAGCCTTGAGAGGCTGGACACTTTTAGATGCCTCTTGTGTGGAGCAACGCAAAATCACAGATGGACTGTGGCCACGCGGGGCGTCACCATGGCCCAGACTGCTAGGAAATGCCCAAGTTTTTTGAGATATTTCCTTCCCAATAGAATCTACTTTACATGAAATATACTAAAACAGATATGTTATCTCACAAAACTGAGATCTGCCATCCAGATTGCCCTTTAGCATGAGTATACTTTTTGGCTTGATTCGTTCATCCAAATAATACAATTTTAAAACTTCGTTCTTGGCTTAAGCCATTGAATACAACAGGAGAAGCTCATGTATCTTGATCATCACACTCATAAAGCCTTATGATTTGTCAAAAGTTTTACAGACTTAAAAAATAGCTTTACTTGTTTTTATTTTATTTCTCTTACTACCTCCCTAAAATTCCATTAATTCAGCAACTGTCTTTCTCACTACCTCCTTAAAATTCCATTAATTCAACAACTACGCAAAAAGTAGGCAGAGAGCCCTTCACTGAAAGGGACCACGCAGGTCATGAGAAGTAACTGACTGGTTTGCCTCTATTAATGTCTCCTGGGACTCCATTATGATTCTCTAAACTCTCAAATTATCTCTGTGCCTTGGCTATGTCCCCTAACAAGTTAACAGGTTATTTAAGCAAGCATGGTAAGTTATTTTGTAAGTAATTTTGCCTTTTTTATAAATAAGAATTTCATTATGCTTTAAAAAGATCAACCAGTAATATCCTTTTCCCCTTTATTTTCTCTTTGAACTTTGGAAGTAACAGGCCCAGCAACACCTGAATATGCCAGGTGAGGTCTCCATGATCTGGACCTTGCCTCCCACTTTCCCTTCAAGCCTATCCCTGAGCTCTGTTGTGTGTCTTTAGACACACATCACCCCATGTGAGCCTCCCATCCATGTGTGTTGGCATCTCAATCGTATTTTGCAGAAACAGACTCAAAATTTAAGTTACTTCTCAAAGCCACGTTAACCAGTAAGGGACAGCAGGGGTTTTCAGCCCCCTCAGAATCCATACTCTTCTGCTCGATCTTACAGATTTTCCCTACCAAGTTCCAGGACCGCACTTTTCCCTAGGAGGTGAGGCAGCTAGCAAAGATCAGGGGTATTATTCCCAGAATGCTTTCTTGGTCACAATCTCCAAACCACTTCCAAAGGTAAGAACAATAGTCTCCGCTTATAGAACTGATCTGTATCACTCTAAGGACAGTGACGCAAAAACAGAGAGGATCCTGTGAGAGGAAAGTGAGTGAACTAATAACATTTGCCTGGTGTCTGCCATGGGGTAAGACGTGTGGAGGACTGCCGGCTCCATACATTATTGCCGGCCTCACAGCGACCAGGGAAGAGGGAGAGAAAAATCACCATCTTAAAATGAAGAATACGAAAGTTGAAGAAACTTGTCCAAGACCACATAGAATTAGATGGTGGATACAAATTGAAACCCGTATTTATCCTCACTCTCCTCCACGTTCCACTGGCTCTCGGGGTTGGATTACATGAAGGCCAGTTTCACACACGAAGCTATTAAACTTCTTAAAGTGTCATATGTATAGCCTAAAAACCAGAAAATTTTACAGGGGCATTTTTGATATCCCTCAACATTAAGAGGAATGCAAAGCTAAACAAATTTCGAGAACAGCCCAACCCCTAACACGATTTTTGCACTAAGATTTTGCCCTGTTCTCTTTCTTTGTAAACCCCAGAACGAATTTTGAAATGTTGTACAATCAATCCCTGCCTTGGCCATTTTGAAAAACAAATGTTCAAAAAGAAGATAACAATGCAGTATGTATAATCTATAATAGTGTAAGTTAGCCATGCCTCGTAAGTGTTTTA